TGCATGCTTCTGTCTCGGAAGGCAATAGACGTAGACCAATGCTATTGGGCCTATCCTAAAATATTCACCTTCTGAAAGGCTTAGCCTACAATGGAAGCTGGGAATCGAGCGAAGGTGAATCAAGCTTTCAGGGTTGACCCTGGACAACTTGCAAATGCTATGCCATGCATTTGATGCCTATCATGCACCTCTGCATAATTTTCTTTGCCTGTGCCCCTACCAGATCTGAAGAAAAATCATGCTTCTGTTGTGTGATTTTGAGCTATGAGCTTGTACGAAACAAATTTTGAATAGTTGATCGAGGCCTCATTACTAATTGTGGTAATTTAAAATAGTTAAATGATCTGGAATTGGATCCTGGAATCAGTGTGAGTGGCAAAATAATTAATTCCAGGGTGATAAATTATTTTATTATTTTATTTATATATTCATGAATGTCTGACTAAAATGAATACAGGGCCATTAAAACCTGAATGAATGCCAAAAAATTGATGACAATATGCCCTAAATCCCATCAAATGAACTAAAAAAGCTGGAGTCACCATGCATAAGACACCAAAAATATTTATAATATTCTGCATATGCTAGGAAGGAACCTAAAGATAACATACATCAGGTCATGACTGAGCCATCTCTGAAAATTCTGTGTGCTGGCAAGCCTTCAGCTGAGAGATCCAATTTCTGAATGAAATCAACGTGAGACCTGGAGGATCCTTGGTGTAGGGTTACTATGTGCCTTGCACTGCTTGGCTCAAGAATGTCAACTATTTCCTATGGCAAATTTTTTCACCAAAGCTTCAGTATTGTCATGGAGAGTGCCTTTTGGCTTGTACAGTCATTCTACCACATTGGTAAAATGGCATGGCATGATCACATGGAAGCCTTAATTTGAATCCTGTGCTCTACATAGGCCAAGACTCATGCTCAATAAGCAAGGGAATGAAGCAACCAAAGCAGCAATATGGGCCTAGTGTGGATCAATTCATGACCACTGCAACTAGGCACAACTAAGTGGGAATGCCTTCTTGCATTCCCATTTTTCTTTTGAAACAATTCTTTGTGTAGGAAAGGACTTTTACATGCTTTGATCAAAATTTGAAACACATGCTGAAGAAGAGGTAACTTTTCAGTAAAAATTGTCCCACTCTCATTTTTCAATGTGAACAAAATATCGTCACTTAACAGGTCCTTTCACTGCATTCAAAATGTATTGAAATTTTATTGTAACCTTCTCAATGCCATGGTGGCTGATGTCCATAGTTTCATCTGAACAATGTCTCCAGATCAGGTTTTACCCTTGTTTACACATACTTAATACTTTGTTATTGCTGTACCATCAAGTTATGAAATAAGGGTTCACTTGCTCAGGAGGGAATGTCACCCCATTGCCATTAATGATAATTGTGATAATTAATAATGCTATGTGTTTCTTAGACATTGTGACAAAGGACCAGGTTGATGGGTAAAAGTCAATCTGGAAGCACTGTTTCAGCTAATTTTAATTTTATATGCTTTTAGTGCCTACCTTCCCCCTCTGGCAGGCCTGGAGGGAAGGGTGAGAGAAGCATTCTGTATGGATCAGAAATGAACAATAACATGTGGTGTGATCCTTTATTTACTTGCTGACCTTTGCAAGTCCGTTGTGATGTTCCACTCTAATAAGTCTTCAATTACATAACTAAGAGAATATCAGCTGCAAAAAAAAAAGAAATTAAAGGGATACAGAAAAGAGTTTATCTTGTCACTTTCACAGGAAACGTAGAGGATCCTTGTTTCTGCACATTCCGGTCCACATTCATTGTTGCTTGTCAAACTTGAAGCACAAGTTAGATCAGGAGAAGATCACTGAAGGTTAGATCAGGAGTTCATGTGAACATAAACCCATCTGAGTCTCTATTGAGGAACATTTCCAAAGAGTCAACTTCTTTACCATCAATCTGACACCATTGCATTGCTATTAGCTTGGCCTTTGTCTGCCATTGCAATCAGGAAATCTGAATTAATATCTCAAATATCATTAGACAAAGTGCCAATTTTTACTCTGGGAGCATGGACAATTGCTAATATATAAGGTATACTTTGGGAGCCTTTCCCTTGGACAAAAAAAAGCAAAGTATCAACATTGCTGAACTGGTCCCTCACCACAGTCACAAATCAATGTGCAAATAAAACACATTGTTTGTTTTTTTAAATTGAAACTATTCTTAGAAAAAATTCAATTAGAGTCATCAGTTAAAGAACATTTCAGGTCCAGAATATCTTAGAAATTCTCTTTAAAAAATATTTGAAGTTAAATATTGCTTTATGTCTGAGTTTCACAAAAGTAGGGATTACCTCACAATTTAGCCATAGGCTCTGCAAAATATTTGCCTTACCTTGGCATACATGTTGCAAAGTGAGTAGATCTGGCTTTAAGATCTGTTTGAAAAGAATAAACTGCAAAAAATAATACTTCAGAATATATGGCAATAAGTGATACTGAGAGTTGTCTCAATCTCCAACACAAGTTGGAGATTGAGACAATAGGTACTTCTTTACCTTATTTCTTAATACTCACTAGGTTATGCTTAGGGTTCACACTAGCTTTTTTAAATCTTGAGTCCTGGCACCTAGCTTCAGCTCAGTGGGAACATGTTCAGGTGGTTGTCAATGAGTCACACAGACTTAGATGTTCTGCAAATATGAATCCCTCGAAGAAAATATGAGTCAGGGACTTGCTATAGCTAATTAACGTGAATCCTGCTTATGCTAATTGCAGATGATGGTGCAGTGGTGCCACCTTTCATAATAAAGGTGCTCATCCAGACAGCTCTGTCTTTGTCAACTGCATCGCTGATCATGCCATATTCCACTCAACCCATTCTTCAAATATATCAAAATTATTTTGGAGGTTGTCCCAAAACTCATCTAAGTGGTATTCCAGTTGAGTTTTTTAGCTCGGAAGAAAACATGTAAATTGATTTTAAAAGCATTGCATGCAATTGCTTTCTCAGAAGGAAAATGCTCCATTGATATATCTCAAAATTACTCTAAGTAGAATTCAGGTGTGTCTCAGAATATTTATCGTTCTCGGTGCCTTCTCTCATATGATAATAAATATTTTTTAGGACAAAGTAATTGGCCTCTGGGCAATGTGACTTCGACTTTTCCATGGCAATTCAAGCCATAATTAAAATAGTTTATGCATAGAAATATATGGTCTTTTCTTCTACTCAAGAACTAAAACATAATTACCATTTTCTTAAATCCACAGCAACTTGTAACGAAATCTGAAATGCTGTTACGTGGAGGAAATTGAAAAGAGCCCCCATTCTGGACAGCAAAGAAAAATATATAAAAAAGAGATCCCATTCAGGACAGCAAGAAAAGATAAGCCCGGGTTCTTTATGAGAGGGGGGGGGGGTGGACCAACATGAGAACTGGAACGATCGTCCGGAATTGCGATAATGTCGCCGGTAAAGACCTGTGAACGATGCACTATATTAGACAGAAACGAACGCACGCCATCACGTGGTGGGCCGCGAGCGATACAACCGGAGATAGACTGGAATGTTCGCCTAGCTGGCTTTCCCCTTTTCACGTCCATGTCCTTGCAATCCGAACCCCTCCCCGATGCATGCATGTGCTTCCTGCCTGTCTCTCTCTGTCGGCTAGCGACATCTGTCTCGTCAGCTGGGCTCCACGTGCTGCGCCGTTGGCGGCTGGTGCCTGGTTTCTCTCCTTTCGTCGAATCCGAAATCGGAGTCCCCGAGGGCAGGCTGGAATTCCTCCTCGTCCTCAGGGTCGACCGGTCCCATCGGCGTCTTTCATCCGTATCTCGAGAAGTGGACTTTCTCGGGAAAAAAACTAATTAGTTTCACGTCCGTCGGGCTCCCAAGGCTGCACGGCATCTTTCACGGTGCAACGAATCGTTCGGTATCGACGCGGCGGCGAACGAAATCAAAGGCAACGCCACACGCACCTGGAATATATCCATATGCTCCATCTGCGGTCTCCCGCTAATGCCCCGGGGCACGTTCGACCTATTCAGGATGTATCCAGGAAAATCCCCGAGGACAGAAACCCGCGAGAGATCTCATTTTATTCATCTGCAATGAGTTACGATCGAGCAGGAAGAGTGATCCGCGTGAGATTCATCGCAGCGTGACAGGTTCTTTCAAATGGATGGTCACGTTCGCCGGGTTTTTTTCCTCTGCCTACCACGTCCCGTCCCCCCCCGTCCCCCCCTCCCCTCCCCCCTGCCTCGCTCCATGGTCGTATCCAGACGGTCCATTGTGGGGAGAGGCGATGCCTCGCTATCCATTACATGGGGTCCGGCCGAAGATGGACTGTAATTAGAGGGGCGTGATCTAATACGGGTAATACGGAACGAACGGACGATACGTTCCTGCAATCTTCGACTTCAAGTGCAAATAAATATTGCCTACACGGGACAAGCTCCTCCCATTCGGAGGTATTAAACGGGGTGGAGTTTAGAACGGGGAATTCTGCCCGTCTCGCCCGGATGGGTCAAGGCATATTCGGTTCCGAGCCGATGCCGATTACGCGAGGTCAGCAACCGTGGACCCTAAAACCCGCTTCGGGATGGCTTTTAAATCGTTTTCACCTCACCTGGCATTGGCGAATCTCGGCATCGATCGCGTTTCCAGCGGATGTTGATTCATACGACGCCACGCGTCGAGGTGGGCTTTAGATAAGCGCTATCATCGTCTCGAGATGATCCATCCTCGAAGGATGATGCAGATACGGCGATTCGACATTCCATCGAATTTCGATACGTGCAACGACGACCGGATGCCAGAAAGAAGGAACGGGTCTCGCGCACGCATTGCGCAAGGTCGAAGAGGCGCGTGAAAGCACGCGAAGGCGAGTGAAAGGCGAGCGAGGAGGCAGGAGGAAGGCTGGGGGATCACGAGGACCCCGGTGGGCCGCGGTGGGCCGTGGCCCTCGGGGCAGGTAGGCATATAACCGAGGCCTACGCTCTCTCTCTTTCTCTTCCCCTCACTCTCGCTCTCGCTCGCAGCACCCGTCTATTGCATCGCGTCGGATTTCCCCTTGCGACATCGGCACTGCCATCCCAGTCGCATTTTCGACCGTGCCATCGTGCCATCTCTCGTGTGCCCCGCGTCCGTCGGTGCGAAGTGCCAGCCATGGGGGCCAACGCGTCTTCCCCCCACGCGCCAAATCACGAACAGTTGGAGCGAAACAAGGTAATCGGGGCGGTTCACGCCCGTTTTCGACGCACCTGTGCGCGAGGAGAAAGAAACGTTTCTCGTCGAGGCTCGACCTGCCGTTACGGGAATCGGACGGTGATTCAGGGACTTTGACTCACCCCTCGGTATATAATGACTCTGACGAGGGCTTCTTCCCACGTCGACTCACGAACGCACACGTACAGTTACGGTCGCTCTGCGTTAAATTGCCCTCGCGAAGTAGGGAATGCAATGAGGCAGAATGGCCTGTGATGGATCCATTTAGACCGAGTTTTCCCGTCCGACCCTGCGGTTCGGAGCTCAGTGAACACGTCGGAATGCGTTCGCGTGCGAATTCGCGGAATATTGCCGCGGGGTGCATTCTCCGCCATCTTCACGAGCGATAACTTTTAATTGCTATAGCTTCCATCAAATATTTTATGCTCGACCCCGGCGCGCGGAAGGGTGAGAAATAATTAGAGCAATTTCTTCGTCTGACGAAAACCTGAAGTGCAAGAGCGGGGAACCGGACTGAGAAGGACTGTGCACGTCTCTGTCGATCACGCGAGCGAGCTGTCATCTCTCGGGTCTATGAACTCGGACGTCGACGTCATATATTGTATGTACCGTCGTTCTCCCTGGTGCATCTCGTCGGTTCTAACGTTGGAACCGATAGAAAAGAAACGGAAACCGCGCACGTTTTTTTCGTCGGCGATAGCGCAAAATAGAAAGAACATCCGGGATCTCTTTTCGCTTCCTCCGCTAAGAAAATATTTTCGAAGAGTCCTGCCGCGGAAACAGCCGGAGCCTAACATGCTCACAGCTTCACCTCGTTAATTTCCACGTCGCCTTTCCCCCCCAGATCCGTCGAAGCAAGATGGATCGGCTTCGGCGAAGTCTGCGGAGCAGCCTCCGGAAGAAGAAGGATTTGGGTCGGCCGGCGGTGACGGAGGCCGCGAAGCCGCACCAGTGGCAAGACGACGAACTCAACGTCCGCGCCGGGACCTGCTCCTTCCCAGTCAAAGTGGGTCTTTTTTATTATTATTATGCTATTATTTTTTATATTTATTTATTTATTTATTACTTTTTTTTATTCCCATCTGAGAGACAATTGTCTTTTGAAAGGCGAGACCTGATTCAGAGCGGTGAATTTTTTTTTTTTTTTTTTTTTTTTTTTTTACTTTTTTTTTTTCCCCCCCCCCCCCCCCGCCCATGGTTTTGTATGGAGATTGGAGGGGTTTGGATGTGGCAAGAATGGGGAATGTGGGGGTTGCGGCCGCCCACGTAGCGGAATGGTGTAAAAAAATTGCTTTTTCTTTGCAGTATCTGGGATGCATTGAAGTGTTCGAGTCCCGAGGGATGTCTGTGTGCGAGGAGGCGCTCAAACATCTCCGGGTGAGTTATGGGAACTCTTGTGTGCAATATCGGAAGAGGTGGGTGCTCTCGCTCTATGGTTGCAATGAATCATGAACTTGTTTTTCTCTTTGTTTTCCGTCCTTAGCACTCCAGACGGAGACCGATAAAGGGGATGCTTTATGTGTCTGGGGATGGAATAAGGGTTGTGGATGATGATACCAAAGTGAGTTTCTGGTCGGCTTATCTTGTCTTTTCTCGTATTTGTAATCCGCAGGCTCTTTAAAAAAATTTTGTTTACATTTGCATTCTAGGGTCTCATTGTGGATCAAACGATAGAGAAGGTATCTTTCTGCGCACCAGACAGAAACCACGAGCGAGGATTTTCGTATATTTGTCGCGATGGCACGACCCGTCGCTGGATCTGTCACGGTTTCCTCGCGCTGAGGGATTCTGGTGAAAGACTGAGCCATGCAGTGGGCTGTGCCTTTGCCGTCTGTTTAGAACGAAAGCAAAAGAGAGACAAAGAGTGCTGTGTGACGATGACCTTCGACCCGGCCACGTCCACCATGACGCGAATGGGCAGCTTCCGGACCGTTTCCCTCACCGAGAGGATCGTGGACCCGCAAGAATGCAAGCCGGCAGGTGAGTCTGACATTGCCGAAGGAGGACCAGTCGGGATGAGATCGTCATGATTGTAACCCGAGTTTTTTTCCCCCTCGCGTTTTCATGATCGCGGTCGTCTTCTTCATGCAGAGCCCCCGCCGCCCAAGAAGGATGTGGTGAACCCGCATGCGATTGCAAGGCCCCATGCCACTCCCTCGATGCTCCTGAGACAGGGTTCCTTCCGAGGATTCACCGCTCTGAATCAGGTCTCGCCTTTCAAAAGACAATTGTCTCTCAGATTGGATGAACTCCCTTCGACTCTGGAAAGGGCTCAGCAGATAGCTAACGAAAGCCAGACCCAGAACAAGACTTCACCGACACTCCCTTCGCCTTCGTTCGCTCCACAGCAACCTAATGGAAACAACGGTGAGCTACAGGGCAATGAATTGTTGCCTGAAGACACACGTGGATGGTTCACGACCGAATCTGCGTTGAAAATATGCGCCAAAAAACAATCATAGGTTTTCTGTACTCCAGGAGGCATGCAGCTTGGAGAGAGTCCACAACCACCACCTCGGACGAGGATGCGGCTCATGTCCCTTCCGAACACGTCCATGACGGTTCCCGGTGGATACAACTGTGAGTTGTCGAGCCTGACTTTGGAAAGCAGTATCATCTGGTGGGAAGTCATGATTTTCCTATCTTTTGGCAGTTTTGAGTGCAGGTCCATCTTCCATTCCTCCGATCCCCGAGTCCAGCCCAGTCCACTCGTGTGATAAAGTGAGTGAATTGGCTCAACAAGTCTCACAGGGACTCTCCCTTCTTACTGCTGCATCTAACAGGGATTCCAATGCGGAGAATCAGGTGCCCTTTCGCCCCATCGATACGATCATTTTGTATCTCATGTTTTGCTCACTATTGCTTCTTTGGTGTCATGCACAGAACGAGGCTGAGAACTCAAATATGACTACATCAAACCTGTTTGACAATAAAAAGACAGGTAAGTCAAAGTCCTTAACATTTTGTTGCTTGAATGGCTTTTTGCAATTGAAAAATGTACTGTGCTTTTTTAAGTTGTAAATAACTGAATGGAGAACAAAAGTATAGCTTAAATTCATTCTTCATTTTCCTTTTTCTATCATTTTAGATACTGATCCTATTGTGACTGACCCATTCAAGACAGAGAATGACCCCTTCAATGCAGACTGGGCATTTTCAGAAACAAACCCCTTTGCCAATCATAACACTTTTCAAACATTCCAGCTTCAGATGTGAAGAAAGGTGAGCAGCATAACCTGTATTAAGACACCTCGTTTACGTCTCGATGAAATATAATTTATGTGGATTGTGTTGATATAGAACTTGTTTGCATCTCTTTCCAGGTGAAAATTCATTCATGGAATTCATTCACTCACTTGCCACTAGTCATTCATCAAGGGCAAGAAGGACAAGTGTTCCCTCCCTTGATCCTGTACATTCCTACGTTGTGACCTATGTTGCTGCCTCTTTGATCAGAGATGCACACATATTCATTCATCATTCACTGTGGTTGTTGCAATTCATCTACTGTTGACTTCCTTGTGGTTTTTTGGCACGAATCAAAGATGATGATTCTTGGCCTTGTCAGCATATCTCTCAGACCTTAGCATCACCCAAAACTGGGTAGCCTAGTAAGTAATATGTGATGCTTGTGAATTCATTTTTGAGAATCTGAAGTGTAGAAAACAAGGATAAAGATACTGATGTGTCAAGGGTGAGTGCTGCTACTTTATTTTTTCATTCATATTTTTTGGCCTAGAAATATTCTCTACTTTCAAAAGATTTTCCATAAATTCTTCTGTTGGGCTTCCATCTGGCTATCCTGAACATTTTTTTTGTGGCCACCATTAGAATGGTTAGGATTTGGATAACTCGGCAGTCGATTTTTGCGTCTTTTTGAATTAACAGTCATGTTTGAAGAGACTCAGTCATGAGGTAGGCATTTTATGGCAAGTATTTTGATGAAAAAGGAAAAGATAGCTGTGATTGTGCTAGTTGATAATGCATCAACATGGTGTGGCTTCCTTGTAAATGCATGTCTCTGCTCAAGTGTGCTCTTATAGAAGATTCATGGAAATGAAGTATTCTTTCTTGTCCGCTTGACGACTGCAATAATTTTTTAGGTTTGCTATGGTCTGAGGAAACTGAGTGTAGAAAATGACAATGAAAAGTTGAGTTGCAGAACCCTGTGATGAACTGGTCCTTTGTGTTCAAACAAATGCCCATATTCTACAAGATCTACATGATCTTACATTATAAATTGCCCCACACCAGCTTGCAAAAGTCTTGCAAGACCTTTTTTTAAATCAAAATCCTCAGCACTTGTATCACTGTATTATCATTTATGCATGTCAGCTGTGCAGAGCTACCTCTATATGCATGAGATGGTGCTTTTTCACTTATGTTTGCCTACAAATTCAACATCAGTTTCTCAGTACTATTACATTTTTACTCTTTTTCACAAGTCTTATGGGTTTAAGTGTTCCCAGTAGAAAATGGGATGAAATAGCTGCTTCTATTCTTATGCATTAGTATAAGATAAATGTCATGAGGACATATTTAATATTCTGTAATCCTAAATTAATATTGGTATTTTGAGAAAATATTATTTTTCAAGTGCAATGATTACCTAAATACCTAACTTTTTCTTGCATTGATGTCTGTAAAAGAATCTCACAGGGAAGTACCATGGGATGTGGAACATTTTAAACATTTATGTAGAATTCTTTCCCTTATTAAGCTTTTACTTGAGACACTTATGAAAAATGCATGTTAGCAGCAGATCCTAATGGGTACAATCCATTCTTCTCCTTATAATCTTTTGAAGCTCTGTTAAAGCAATGAGACCTTCTTGGAAGCTCTTAGAGCACTTCCACAGGGAAGAGGTAAAATAGTCAAGCACATGACATTCCTACACCATGGGCCTACCCTCAGCTAACTTCAAGAAACTGCTGATGTAGTTCCAGCAGAATTGCGGTTACTAAGATCAATCAACTCTTCATAATTGTGTGGAAACCTAAAATGTGAAAGGGCAGAAGTCTCTCATTCTTCAATGCTTTCCTATGTGGGTACAACCATTAAAACTAACACCAGGAAAAAGTGAGATGCCCTAAATTAGTGTTAAAAGAATGTAGTTGTACCTCACAAGATGATCACATGCTTTTGGAATTGTTTCAGGTCCTTACTAATGACTACAAAATAAGATTTTAGGGAATAGAGGGTTAGAGAGGAGCAAGTAATGTGAAAAAATGGTTTCCTGTTGTGCAAATAAGTGTTCTCTCAGCAAAAAAAAAAAAAAAAAAAAGAGGGGAGGGACACAAATTTGGGAAGTTTTTAGCCTGATCCTTAAAAAGAAAAAAAGGAGGTCTCTACTTAGGCAGACTTAACTCTTGAAATGGATTCCCTCAATACCCTACCATAACAGAAACTCCATACTGGTATTTAGTCATGATTGCTTAGAATTTGGCATTTTGACAACTTGTGGAGACCCCTTTCAGGGAAAGGCACATTCTATGCAAATGGAAGTAGCTTTGTAGAGTTAATATATAAGCTAGCTTATGGTATCAGTATTTTTCAGGTTGAGGATGATGTAAGTGATCATGAAAAGTTATTGCAGGACTTTTGGAAGGCATTACCCTCTAGTTGAAGAGAAGCTGGTGAGTGTTTGCTCTGGAGTAGTTTCATGATGTATTACACATAGGCACAGTCCAGAAGTAAAGATGGTTTTTCCTTGGTTCACTAAAAGACTCGAGAGCAATGTGTACTGGAATGTATGTGCAAAGGTGCTGAGCAGTGCACAAATGAAGCAAGTTGAGTTTAAGAGGGAGAAGACACATATCACAAAATTGCCTACATTTCAATCTACACTGTTCTCTTTTGAGTTATAAATTATTCTGATATGTGGACTTTTGGAGCTGTGGAGTCAACATTATGCATTCTTTTTATGGTTCCATGTATTACTCAGATCAAAATAAAATCTATTGTGAATTCTACAGACTGAGAATGATTCCATTTCCTTACTAAAGGCCATGGGTAGGCTTATAGTCTTCCTTTCTAGGACTGGATTTACAGTATGCTGGATCTAGAATGGAATAAATTTTCTTCCAATGGAGATAAACATGCAACCAGCTCTGGGATCAGTACCCTAAATCTACTAGTCTCACATGCCATCTATCAATTGAAGTCTTTCCGTTTCATACTCACCTACTTGAAACTAATAACACCTCAAAACGAAATTAAAATTATGCCCAGAAATTGGAATGACAATTATACCTCTGGAGAGGGATCCAAAGGGAATGAAGCTTATGAGCTGAAATCTTCCCTCATTCCATCCACCACAACACCTAGTTCAAACACTTGTATCAATACTACTGCAGCATTATCATTATGGTTTTGAAGTGGAAAATACCTCTTTTGGAATAATGGTACCCTGACTTTCTGCAATACAAACAGATCATGTTAGAGGAAGAAGCCCAAGCATAGGTAAGGTGTTACAGCTGTCTTCATAAGGTTTGTCCTGCAACAGGGAGTTGTAAGGTAGGTAGAAACGGCAGCTGTGTTCTACACTAGGAAGGTGGAACAAGGAAGAGAAAACCTGGCAGGAATTTCAGATATAAAGAGTCTAGCATTGCCTCTGTCATCCAGACACTAGCAGGCACTACATGGAATGCAAAGGCCAGCATATTCCAGTCATTGGCCCTGGCTCTAGCTTTCTCAGCTGCAGAGCATTGCACACTGGTTTGTTCACAGAGTTCCCACATAAAGTTAGTGGACACCCAACTGAACACAGTGATGCAGACAATATCAGGAACCTTCAAGCCCACCCCAATAGCATGGCTCCCAATTATTGCAAACATACATACACCTGCTATCTGACACCAAACAGCATCCTTCCAGGAAGCCAAGTGGTTGGCCAACCTACCAATTCATGTCGACCTGGCTACTGCACTGGAGACATCCTGCCTGAAATTCAGAAAGCCTTTCTGGATGATCACCTGCTGCCAAGAAGCCCTTCACTATTGTGCCAATGACACCTGGCAACAACTGTGGCACAAAGCAGGAGTAATAAATAATTGAACACAAGACCCAACCACTGAACAACCTGGTTTCAATCTTCAGTGGCAATTATGGTCATTATCAGCCACATCTGAACTGGGTTAGGCAGATGTGGTCACTTAATGGATAAATGGAAAATAAAAAATTCTCCAGCGTGCATTTGTGGAAGCACCGATCAAACCATGGAACATCTTACAAGCCAATGTCCAATATACATGTTCAATATTGTACTCTTGAGTGGATTTAGCTTCAGATTCTGCTGTCGAATGGTAGATTCAACCTCAACCTAAATTTTAAAATCATTGCTCCCCAGTCACATGAAAAGAAGTCTTTAAAAAATGTAGGAAAAAAAAGCATGAAAAGCATTACTCTTAACAATTAGATTGTGCTTCAAAAAGAAGGTATTCCTCACCCATGCATATTTTCTCAAAAATGTCACATACACATTTAAAAATATATAAAAGCCACTGTGCTGAAAACTGGGCTGCTACACAACAAAGCAGTGAAAAGCAATAAGTGCAGTAGAAGGAGCAGATGAAAGGAGGTGAGGCTAAGAACTTGACCAAGCAGTAGAGAGATGAAAAGGAAGCCTACAGGTAAAACAAGCTGGATGAAAAGACCAATCCATTACTGAGCATCCTCCTATCACACATGTCAAAGGCAAATATGACAGATGTGAAGAAAGAAAAAAGAGCAAAATACAGAACATGCTGAGAGATGGTGCATGGAGGAATGGTTGGCACTTGGGAAGGACAAGAGGTGAATATCCAGTCCACTGTGCTTCTCTTTCATAGTTAACAAGCTTAAATTTTATCATATACAGGGTGTCTCAAAAAAATGTATACACACTTTAATAATAATAAAATATATGTTAAGTAATTCAGAGAGGTACAATGTTCAGTGTGTGGAGAAGATGTGGTTTGAAATGTATGGTTCACTACCACAGATGTTCAAATTGTTCACCATTAGCACTCAGGCACTGTTGACAGTTGACCTGTTGGTGAGGTCTATCAGAACACTGTTTGTGCATTACCATACTGGCAATGTTCTGGGAGACCATGCATCAGCATAAAACTTATCATGAATCCTTGAAAGTTCTAGTACATCATGGTGGCATAGTTGCAAGTTCATTTCTCCACCTTCTTTGCACTTCACATGTGTTCTCAGATTTCCAGAATCACTTCAAAATCAACATATATTGCTCTAAGGTCAAATGAGCTTGTGTCATCTGGCATGACACACTGTCTCGTGGGAAAAAATTGCCTGATGACATGTGATCATTCCATTACACATTGTCATCTGTTAGGTACTGTACATGTCAAATTAAACATCGTCCTTCTCTGAATTATTTAATATATACTCTTGATTCAAGTGTGTATACATTTTTTTGAGACACAGATAAAATGTATACATACATTTTATATTGTAAGTTCATGAAACATTTCTAAAGAGTATGTAAATGGGATTAAAGAAAGATGACACTATTCTCTCTTCAAACTTCCAAATGCATGAAAAGTTTACATAAGCTGTTTATGATAATTATGATCTTTCATTAAATGTTAGCTATAAGTGAAACAAATCCAAGAATGAAAAGTGTGTTCATTGTTCCCATGCACAAATCCTGGCCAGAATTTAGATATTCATTTAAGTAGTATTGCCAACACTGACCAAAGCTGCTGACTGGCACACAATTCAAAACAGAGACTCAACAAACAAATGCTTTTCTTCCAATACTCAAAGTTTCTCATCCTTCATTGATTCTTCACAGGCACGGCTTTTTCTTTTCCGCCGCAAGGAAGCTACAAAAAAGCCATTGCACAAGTCACTGTGAGGATCAGTCCGAATGCATTGAGTGAGTGGTTCCAAGCCCCTTCTCTCCCAAGTATCCCTCCATATGTCTTCCATGATGAAGTCTGGAGAAAGCTCCAGAACACGTTCTATGACGGATTCATTCTCCGTCTCATGGATGGAACAAGTGGAATATACTACTCTCTTCACCTTTGGAAATGACAAGGCATGCAGCAGGAGTTTCTCCTGAAAACTGCACAATTTTCTGAGACGAACCGCATCAACGAACTGCGTTTCTCCTTTCATTTGCTCTTCTCGAAACCTTAACCCTGAATGAAAAATTGTCAGGTTCAGGATTACACAGGTAATCTGACACTCAATGCAACATCACACCACATCTCATTTCCTTTTCTCTTGCTTAAGATGCATGCAGATATGAAAGATACTAACCTGAGCCAGAACATGAAGGGTCAACAAGGATGTATTTGACAGTACGATCCCCAGGGTCAAGCGCTATGAAGTCATCATTCACAAATTCCACCATATGGCCTGCTCCACTGCTGGAGACAATGCTTTTCATGGTCTCCATCCTCTTTCCATCCCTGTCTACTGCATAGATCTTCCTACAGTACCAGCAACACCCATTGAGTCATCATATTTTGAGTTGGATGAACCAATTAGGAATTGAGTTCTCATCACTACACAAACAAGACAAGTTGAATAACAAACCCTTTTCCTTGCATGAGAGCTGCAAGATGAAGTGTTTTCATTCCAGGTGCTGCACAAGCATCAATGACATTTGAGCCTGGTTTTGGACTCAGGATTTCACTTGCAAGACAGCTTGCCTGGATTAAAAAAAATGAAAGATCTCTTGCCATGTGATGAACAACTAATAATTTTGCTGGCAAACATATTTTGAAAAGCTCCTTTATAAAAAGGATGGGATCAATTAATCCCTCATTGCATGAATTTTTCTTTTGTCATGAAAAATGTGTATATATACAAAATTAAATGCAGCAGAGGTAGTGTTTCATTCAGTTGGTGAACAATTGACTGCATGTTACAAGCAAGTTGGAAGCTTCATATCTTATGCACTTTGCCTAAATAGCTCATAAAATTGATAAAAATTGACTTTTATGGTTTTATTATATTTGACACAATATGCAGAGAGTGGTTAACTTGGGTGGAGAAATTGAATGAGGTCAAACCTTGTCTTGAAACAGCAGTTTCCTCTCTGCAACCAAAGAATGATCAAACATTGGAGTAGGAAGGCACAGAGCAAGAACATTAGGTAAATGCCAATCCTTGATGAAGCTCCCAGGTTTCAACTTTTTTACTCTCTCCAAGAAGGACTCATATGAGGTGCAAGTCATCAAATCAGATTCTTCCCATTCCTCCTTCTTCAACAAGGTTACAACATCTTCCATAGATGTTACTAAGGTGTTGACACGACACCACTTCACCTGAGCTGATGACAGAGAACAATGTCAAGATTCAAAGCCTCCTAGGTATGTGAATTCTGTAACAAAACTTAAGGACACAAACTTTTGGGAACTCACTCAAAGGTCTGGCATTCTTCTGGTCTGAAATATCTACCTTCTTTGTTTCATGCAGGAACTGAATAGCTTCTCGAATGGCAGTCTCTGGATAGCTACTACCAGGGAGAGTCTTCTTTCCATACAATCCTTCAGCAAGCAATATTCTTGCAATGTTGGGACTCAGGGTCGGGTGCTTCTTAAAGAGGTGTGAAACACGCATGAATGTCCGGATGTCAGAATCATGTTGAAAGGTGTGGCACAGCAGTGCATGAATCCCTCGAACATTCTGCAATGATGTCATGTTTTTGATGCCAGGGGGCAAGAGAGAGAAGAGTTTTACAATATGAGGAGAAAATCTTACTGGATGCTTTGCATTGTAGAGGAGGGACCGAATAGATCCCTTGCCATCTTCATGGTTGGTTAGTATTTCAGCAGCAACCTTATACAATCGAGGGACTTTAACCCTCCATTGTTTTTTTTTCCCTTTCTGAACAGATGATTCCTCATTTGTTGGGGTCATTCCTATACTTTTGCTTCAAGTAAGAAAGAATGCATCACAAATGCAAGACAGTCAAGCAATTTAAAATCAATATTAAAAATTCCAACTTTCTGTGGCAAGATACAGATATCACAGACAGAAGTGGCTCAGCAAATTGAAATCTTTGGGCATTAGTGGTTTCTGCAGAAAGGAAAGACAAAGGACCAAGGAGGAAAAGGAGATGAGTGATATTGTTTTCTCTTTCAGACGAACTGTCAGTTAGAGACTTCTTTAAATCCCTTCCATTGTGCATAAGGGACCTGCATGCTGGTGGGCAATTTTCAGGCACAGGCATAGCTGACTTTGCCAAGATGATTGCATCTCCTGATCCTGGAGTTCTTCACAAGAAAGAATACAGAACACAGGTTTGAAAATTTTATTTTTCATTCTGTACTCCACATCAAGGAGAAAATGATTAATGACAAATTATGAAGAACAATGCCCAGGCATAACAACAAATGTTCTTCCTCACTGAACCATGCATAATCTACTTCCAGGTCTCACCACAGCTTATCCCATCTACTGCAAGTGATGCTTTCTCCCCAACCATATGTTCACTCTACATCTTCATCAGCTGCCACAGAGGCTTGGGACTGAGGAAACAACCTCTGGATGAAGACAAAGATCATAGTCCAGTCACTGGAAGGCATAAAAAAAAGAAGTTGAGACAACCTGGAGCACTTACTTCCCCCACAGTTGGGAGTTTTGTAATGAGCATCTGGAAGACATTAGGAGGGAGTGTCTGCTGTAGGACTTGCAAGAGCTGACTTGGCTGGCCACAGACAGCAACTGCATTGCAAAGATGTTCCACGGCTTCCTCAATTTGTCCCATTGCGAGGTACTCCTCTCCGAGTTGAACCTTTGAATGAATATGAATCAATGAGTGGTTTTATAATATGCAAATGAAATGGATTGGTTAAAAGGGGGCTTTGTTATCAAGGAATGCAAAAAAATTCTAAAATGCTGTATGCACCCTTGATGCAATAAAGAAGCAAAGTAAATCTTTCTCAATTATAATGTCTGTGTTATTTATCAATAGATGGATATGAGGGAATGATTTTAAAACTACTCATACATTTTTTTATTATTGAGTTTTTACCTTTCCAAGTAAGGAGTAACACTGCCAAATATTAAGGAGTTGAAAAGTAAACTAGATCCATAGCACCAGCTGACCTTGTGAACTACCATCAAACTTTAACAATTTATTTGTATAATTAGCAAACTGTTTGCCAAAAAAATTATATTCCCTGTTTGTGTTCAGCACATACCCGTGACACTTTCATGTCTGAATAACAAAGACTAGATGTTTTTCAACTATGATGCAGGCACATGACTCTGATTTAGATTTTATTCAGTCATTAAACTCTCATCCTTACCTCTTGCAAAAAGAATCGCTGCACAGATTCAGGATCCTTCAGATCTGAGGCACGTAACCCATCTGCTCCACTGTTCTTGGTCACCTTCTTCTGTTTTCTTTCTGTAATGCCATATCAAACCATATCAGACAGGATTAGATTATCTATGAAGTTCTACATACTGGCTTGAAGGCTTCAAGGCCTGGGGATTGAGATGAATGAACTGACTTTCTTTCAGCTTCTTCTTGAAGTCTGGATCATTCCTTCTCTTCCTATCAAAGTAGATACAGTAACCCACAAAGAGAGATCCACATATACCAGCGAGGACCAGGGCGGTCCTAGAGAAAGTGGTCATTTCTCTAGAAAATTTCTCTCAGTCTATGCTACAACATCTGCAAAGATAGAGCATATCATATTGACAAAATAGAGACCTTTACATGCAGTGCAGGAAGGTCACGTGATCAAACCAGACTCAACTGTTCAGGACAACTCTGACTAGTGCCACCAGCCTCAACATGAGGGAATGAGGATATTACTTTATACTAGCTCAAAACTCTTTTCACCAACAAGGTGTGAGTCTTCTATCTCTCCTTTGAAGACTCAAAGATACTAAAAAACTATTTTGGGCATAGTAGCATGAGATCACACATGGGCTCCACATAAAACAAAAAGCTGAAGGCAGCAGCTTCACAAGCAAGTGATTCCTTGTGAGCCTAGGGAGGTATCTCAGGTTCTTTTCATATATCACCATGTCTGAGAGAAGCTGTTAGCATTGCTTACAGCCTCTCTTCAGCACCGTAGTACTAGCTCCTCCATCCACAGTTTATTTAGACATCATAGACATGCAGATCTAAAAATGACTCACTCCACAAAACCACATGAACTTCCTTGCTCTTAAAATATGATTTCCTTTACCTGTCTCAAGATAATGCCTTCCATGATTTCTTTGAAGGGAAGGGGACAATTTTGAAGAGCTGTCAATTTGAATTCCTCATTAAAAGAATCAAGACTAATGAGTTCAGTCATACACTGTCAAACTTGTTTCATATTTGTGTTTTTCCCATTTCTCATGATTTTATGGCAAATCAACCAGAGCTGATAAAAAAAACCACATGTTTGCAAAGTTCAGGAGAAAAGAATACTTCTACAGAGTGCAGCAAATGTGCTGAGTTGAATGGAAGGAATAGGAGTTTTCTATAATTCTACTTTTGCTATAATTCTAGCTTTTAATGAATTTAAATGTGACACACTTTCCTAGGTTGTCTCCTCAGATAATTCTGTGCACTTGTCCCAGGCAGCCTTTTCAGTCACAAAAGGTCACAATGAAAAAAAAACAAACAATCTTCAGTGAATGCCCAACCAGACACTTGGATTAAAGGACTGATATACTCTCTTGATAACTCAAAGCTCAAGGGAAATTCAAGTTAAAGAAAAATTGAGTAATTGAGGTTTTTTGGATTCTATGCTCTACAACATTTTAAATACATTACAATAATACAAAACTTGCAACACAAACTCATTTTAGCATTTTAACTTGAAAAAAAAGTGTTTGAAAAAAAAGTTCCGCGTGTTTTCGCAGCACCCTTGCGTTTGATGATATTTTCCAAGTTCGCAATTGTGTCTAAAGTCTCTTGTGTCCAACCATATGTGGCCTCAACAAAGCTTCTCAATATTTCGGTCACGCGAGCCGTGGTTGACAGTGAGGTTCATGCACACTGACTGACTAGTTGACACTAGGGTGTAGTACTGATAAGGGGCAGGTGCGCCCCCATGCCTCTTCGCAGCTTTGACTTTCCCATCTGATCGGGGTGGGAACCGAATACATGAATCATCACATTCTTGGGTTAACCAAGTCTGAAGAAAGGGTAGTTATACTGATGAGTCATCCAGTTCGAACTCAAACAATATAATATGGCACCTAATCATCCCACATATAGGGATAAAAAAAAACTCTAAGCGATTGCAGTCGAACTAACTTCCCAGAAAAAAAGAAATGCCTCCATCAGACCCGTGGTTAGTGTGATATCGCCCTGAAATTTGGTGGAAAATGGCAAAACCCATAGTTGGCAAAAATTTCAATCACAGAAACAGTTCATTGCATGGAGGCAAGCAATAGCTTCAACTGGAGGTCTTTAATGGCTTAACAATTTGCTCCATACATCATTGCAGTTTGCATGAGATCATCAGCATCACTTTTGTGTTTGAAAATGTCAACTTTTAGGCAATTTTCACCCTAAAAGCATGTTAAAAACTCGGAGATTCTAAAAATTCACTTTTCTTCAAGTGGCAGAATATTGCCATGTGATGAACCTCTAGAAATTTTTTTAGAGACTTTTTAGAACTCTATGCAATGATTTTGGTTCAACTTGTTCGTATGCTGATTTTCTTTGCCTGACACATTTCACTCACTGAAGCTTAGGGACATTAAGTTGAGCGACATTTTTTGACTCTCATGATGAATTCACTTACATATAACTGCAATTTGTTAAAAACATTGTATAGAACTCTGAAAGACCTTTACAGTCACATATAACATGATCATATTCAGCCACTTGAATAAAATGGGAATTATTGGAATATGCAAGTTTTGACAAATTTTTTTTTACAAAAATGGCTCAGAAAAATATATATTGTTGAAAATATCTGATACTCCCCTTTCTAATGACACCATTCTTGATATCATAGGCGCTCTGTGACATTAAAAAATACTCTACCAAGGATAACCAAAAATCAGAAAATTCTCATTTTGAGGGGAAATTTTGTGTAGCCAAAAAAATTCCAAAAAGTAACTTGCTTTATCGATGCAACTCAGAGTGGTAAAATAAATTGTAACCAGAGCTTTTTCATTTCCCTTGTCACATAGGGATGTTTCTGGTGTGAAAATTGCATAAATTTCACATTTTCAAACTCAACTATGATTCTAAAATCTCATTCAAATGATATATGGAGTGAAATGTTTAGCTATTTAAGACCTCTGGTTGAAGCTATTGCATGCCTTGATATAATATATGGTTATTGGGATAGAAATTTAGCCATCCATGGGGGTTTTCCATTTTCCCCCTAGGTTTGGGGGTGATATCTCTATAACCACAGATCCAATGAAGTAGATTCTTTTTTCCCTGGGATGTTAGATTGACTAAAATTGCTTAGAGTTTTTATCCTTAAATCCAAGATGGTCAAGCACACAGCTTGGTTGAGTTCATATAGGATGACATTGATGTTCATCTGTGTATTTGTACAGGAAAAATATGAATAGTACTGGAATTTATTTAGAGTTATCAATAAATATGTCGTACAGCAGTCGGAGTTAAAATAGTTGGAAAATGCATTTTCCCCATGAGAATTTCAACGGGAAATGCCATGACATTGAGTTAAAGAGGTTCGGGTTATTGAGAGTTGACTGCATTTCATAACATGGCCTCATATTCCACTTACCATAGGCTCTGTAAATCATAAAAACAGAGGAAGCAGGACTCTTGATGCCTTTCCACTATAAACTAGCAGGGCAAAAGGTTTTGATGCATCCATATTCTCTGGGTGTCTTTCTTTTTTATATCATATACCTTTTAATCCTGAGATTGTGAAACAAGTTCAACTCCAAAAAGTTCCTTGTTTGTTTATTGAAAGAACTCCAACATATCTTTCTTTTATGATGCTGCAATACTCCCATTCTCAAGGAGA